CTACAGCTACACTGCACATCCCTACCTACCTTACAGTCACCTACATCTACCTCACAGTCACTTACAGCCCCCTGGACATCCCAACTATTTGACAAGCATCTACAGCCACCGTGGGAATCCCTACTACCTTGCAGTCACCTAGAGCCACCCTGGACATTCCTACCTACCTCACAGTCACCTACAGCAAGCCTGGACATTACTTCCTACCTACCTTACAGTCACCTAAATCAGCCTCATGTCAGTGTGTATATTGTTTTTTGTCAGTGTATATATGTCAATGTGTGTATTGGTGTTTGTTTGTCAGTGTATGTATGTCAGTGTGTGTATTGGTGTTTGTCAGTGTATGTACCCCTGCCCTATCCTTTTCTTCTTTTGAAGTTCACACTGTCCGCCTATTTAAACCCACTCCTTTAAGAATTGCTATCATCTACCGCCCTCCCACGGTTATCCTAGACTATTCATTGAACACTTTTCTTCCTGGCTTCCACACTTCCTCTCATCTAGCACTCCTTCCCTTATACTTGGGGATTTCAATATCCCAATCAATAACCCCAATTGCACTGATGCCTCTCGTCTGCTCTCTGTAACCTCCTCCTTTGGCCTTACACAATGGTCCAATTTAGCAACCCATACAGCAGGAAACACTCTTGATCTTGCCTTCACCAACCTCTGTACTGCCTCTAATGTCTCCAATATTCCTTTTCCTCTATCTGACCACCATCTGCTGACTTTTTGACATTGGCATACCTAAGACCCAATTGACACCACCATCTGAACATCACTCTCACAGAAACCTCCAATGTCTTGACCTAGAGCATTTCTCCACTAATCTCCAAACTCTCCTTTTACCTATCTCAAACCTCACCTGTCCTAGTTCTGCAACCTCCTTCTACAATTCCACCCTCTCCTCTCAACTAGACACGGCACCTTCTACATTTAAACGCCACAGGCGCCCCCAACAACAACCCTGGCACACCAAGCTCACTCAATGCCTCCAAAAATGCTCCAGAACTGCTAAACGCTGTTGGAGAAAGTCTCACTGTGCATCTGACTTTCTCCACTATAAATTTATGCTGAGCTCTTTCCTCTGCAAAAGTTAATTACTTCAATACCCTCATAACCACACTCTCCCGCGAACCCAAACGACTATTTCACACATTTAACTCTCTTCTTCGCCCTGCTGTTCCTCCTCCACCTACTAACTTGACCACCTCAGACTTTGCTACTCACTTCACTGATAAGATCTCTACAATCAGAGAAGAGATCTCTCATCTTTCTTCTTCCCCTTACAATACTTCCCCTAACTTCACTCCCTCTGCTGTTCTATGTTCATTCGCACATGCGACATTGGAAGAGGTTTCTGCTCTGCTCCAGTCCTCCCGCCCCACCACCTGCTCCCTAGATCCAATTCCCTCGCATCTCATCCGTCTAGCTCTGTCTTCTTCTCTTTCTCCACCTCTCACTAAAATTCTCAATCTCTCTCTCTCCTCTGGTATATTTCCATTGCCCTTCAAACATGCAACTGTAACCCTAATCCTAAAGAAGCCCAATCTTGACCCTAACTCCCCATCCAACTATTGTCCTATCTCGCTACTACCTTTTGCATCCAAGATCCTTGAAAGAATTGTGTATGCAAGATTGACAGACTTCCTTGAGTCCAACTCTCTGCTAGACCCGCTTCAGTCTGGTTTCCGTGCTAAGCACTCTGTGGAAACGGCATTGACCAAAGTATCAAATGATCTACTCGCTGCAAAATCTTGTGGTCACTACTCTATCCTAATTCTCCTTGACCTGTCTGCGGCTTTTGACACTGTTGATCATCAACAGCTTCTTCTCATCCTCTACAATATCAGTCTACAAGATATTGCTCTCTCCTGGTGCTCCTCCTACCTCTCCCAGTGCTCTTTCAGTGTTTCTTTCTCTGACTCTGCTTCTTCTCCCCAACTCCTCTCTGTTGGTCCTTGGTCCCCTACTGTTCTCCATCTATACCGCCTCTCTTGGTAAACTCATTAGCTCCTTTGGCTTTCAATATCATTTCTATGCAGATGACACACAAATCTACCTGTCCTCTCCTGATCTCTCCCCGTCCCTCTTGACTAGTGTCTCTGATTGCCTCTCTGCTGTTTCTAACTGGATGGCTGCCCACTTCCTTAAACTAAACTTGACCAAAACTGAAATTCTGGTCTTTCCTCCCTCAAGTGTTGTTACCCCTGTGTCTGTCTCCCTCCAAGTCAACGGTGCTACCATCAGCTCCACCACGCAGGCTCGCTGCCTAGGTGTTCTCTTTGACTACGACCTCTCCTTCAAGCCTCATGTTCAATCTATCGCCAAATCCTGTCATTTCCATCTCAAAAACATTGCGCGCATCTGCCCCTACTTAACGCCAGATGCGACTAAGGTGTTGGTCCATTCCACTGTCCTTTCTTGCCTTGACTACTGTAATCCGCTTCTCAGTGGTCTTACGTGCTCCCAACTTGCGCCGTTACAGTCCATAATGAATGCGGTGGCGAGGCTTATCTTCCCGTCCTCCCGCATCTCCCATGCCTCACCCTTCTGTCAGTCCCTACATTGGCTTGCTATAAAACATAGAGCTCAATTTCAAAATTCTGGTTCTTGCTTTCAAATCTCTACATAATGCTGCTCCCACCTATCTATCCTCCCTTATACACAAGTATGTCCCGTCTAGGCCCTTACGATCTGCTGAAGACTTACGTCTATCTTCTGTCCATACTCCCACCTCTGATGCTCGCTTTCAAGATTTCTCGAGGGCTGCACCGTTCCTGTGGAACTCGCTTCCCTCCTCCGTTAGATGCTCACCCAGTCTCCACTCCTTCAAAAAATCATTAAAAACCCACTTCTTCATAAAAGCGTATCAATTAAACTGCTAATAGCTCCTGACTGATTCCTCTTCTGCAACTGTCACTAGTCTAATACTATCCTTACCTTTTTGTGTCATTTTACCCCACTCCCTCTAGCATGTAAGCTCATTTAGCTGGCCCTCAATCCCTCTGTTACTGTCACTATATCCCACTCCCTCTAACATGTAAACTCAATGAGCAGGGCCTTCAATCCCCCTGTTACTGTCACTATACCCCACTCCCTCTAACATGTAAACTCACTGAGCAGGGCCCTCAATCCCTCTGTTACTCTGTCACTATACCCTACTCCCTCTAACATGTAAACTCACTGAGCAGGGCCCTCAATCCCTCTGTTACTGTCACTATACCCCACTCCCTCTAACATGTAAGCTCAATGAGCAGGGCCCTCAATCCCTCTGTTCCTTTCATTATACCCCACTCACTCTAACATGTAAACTCACTGAGCAGGCCCTCAATCCCTCTGTTACTGTGTCACTATACCCCACTCCCTCTAACATGTAAACTCACTGAGCCGGCTCTCAATCCCTCTGATACTGTGTCACTATACCCCACTCCCTCTAACATGTAAACTCATTGAGCAGGGCCCTCAATCCCTCTGTTACTGTCACTATACCCCACTCCCTCTAACATGTAAACTCACTGAGCAGGGCCCTCAACCCCTCTGTCTCTGTGTGTCCAACTTGTCTGGTTACAACTACATGTCTGTTCGTCCACCCATTGTAAAGCGCTGCGGAATTTGACGGCGCTCTATAAATATCATAATAATAATAATGTATGTCATTGTGTGTATTGTATGTTTGTGTATTGTTGTTTGTCAGTGTGTATAATTATCTGTGCAAGTATTTATGTGACAGTGTATGTGTATATGTGCTTACATCCCAGCAATTAAACGCAAACATTACATACAAACATACCCCACAATAAAATGCCACATTATATATCCACACCCCTTCAATCAAACATCAAAACTACACACAAACATACACCTGCATTTATAAGTCAACACTACATACAAACACACCTCTGCATTCAATCACAAATATTATAAAGTACACCACTGTGTTACAATAGCAGCAGTGCATACAAGTACCGACCAGAACACATATACTCTATACAGAAACATACACACACAAACAATGCTCACAAATACAATGTCTTGCACCAGGTTTCTCTGTATATTATTAAATTCTTCTCTTTTTTCCTTTCTAATGTGACAATAAATCTAGTCCTTGAGTTTTTATGAAGTCATAAAAGTTAACTTGTATAAACAATTTTTACTGGGCATAAATCAGAATGAAAGTCAATCGTTTATTTCTTTTTTTAGAAACTGAAAGCCATTTTATCATTTTTTCCACCTGTGCTCTGTTTAAAACGTGTTGTACCAGCACAGAACTGGTCACAGGGAATCATCAGGATTTGTACAAACTTGTACTGAGCCTCCTTATAGTGACTCTCTAGACACAGTGGTGCCTTCCTTCTATTCAGCATCAAACCATGTGTAATGTTTTTAGTGCTAAATGAGTCCCCACGTTCTGTGCTGCTTAAGCTAATAAGGACATATTTTCCTGTGCAGCAATGTGCAGCTGTGATTGGCTGAGAGTGTCAGCTGACTGCTTTCACCCTATCATAGCGCCCATTGCTGGTATGAATGACTAGAAGGAAGTGTGTAATCACTGTCCTACTCACACCTTCAGTGGGGGTGGAGCTATGGGAAGCAAGGGACCCTCATTCAGTGCTAAACCTAATAATGGGTTTTATGCTGAATAGAGGGACAGCGCCAGGGAACCCAGACACTATAACCACTTCTATGAGATGGATTGGTATTAACATAATTACATGGATTAATAATTATTGACTTTCTTAATTCAGATCAAAGTATCTCAGCTGCAAAGAATATCCATTTCAAGTAAACGAGAGATTAATGCTGCTATTTTGAGCCACCACATGGAACTGTTTAGTACATAGGCCTTTTAGTGGATTTACCATGAAATTTGGAGTTTGATATTCAACAGATGATTTTTTTCTGAATTTACTTATTTCAGTTTTGATCTTAATGAATGACCCAAAACACATGCATTTCGATTTAACAGGTGTGTGTTACTGATAGAGAATAAACTGGACTTACACAGACAACCAAATGACTAATGCAATCCATATACAGTAGATACAGATCCCGATGCCCAGAGACACCATATTCAAAGTAAACGCTGTGTGAGACTCGCTCGCTGCCGCAATGTAGTCACCTCGACTCAGAGACTCCCTTGTCTGAAAGAAAGTAAATAGAGATCACTTCCAGTAATTTCTGAGACTAAATCTAGACTGCTAAATGCTATTTACTACAATCTACTATAGTATGTTGGACCCACTAAGTGCACCGTTCAGCAAGGCAAGAGATGAAAATATGATAACACTGAACGCAAACCATCAAAGCTTGTTTGTTAAGGGTGCACCCTTCTAACGCTGAATTCTAGCATTTCCCACCACTGTCCCCAGGGCACACTGTTTTTTTAGTATCCACATTGGAAAAGAACTGCTCAAACTTTGCTCAGTAAGTAAGAGAAAAGTACTCAGGAAAAATCTAAAAGTATTTCTCATGAATATTACGAGGAGCTGAATATTTAACACAACTTAAAACCTACTTAGTTTTTGTGAGAAAAAGCATGTGGGATTTAGAGGTTTTATGGCTGAGTAAGATATATTCCTTAAAAATGAATATTCTCCCAAAAATGTTGTACTTCTTACAAGCCATACCTCTGTCTGTCCCGTTGTCATTCTTCAGGAAAATCAATTCAGCTATTAGGTTAGGCAAGCCCAGTAGGATCAAATTGTCGGTTTTACAGAATCTTAGAGTGAATGATGGTTTGGGTGTGCCTGATAGTGATGTCCCGAACGGTTCGCGAACGGTTCGCCGAGCGGTTCGCCGTGGACTCATCATTCCAGCCAATCAGCAGCAGACCCTCCCTCCCAGACCCTCCCACCTCCTGGACAGCATCCATTTTGAAGCTGCATTCTTAGTGAGCTGTCCAGGAGGTGGGAGGGCCTGGGAGGGAGGGTATGCTGCTGATTGGCTGGAATGATGAGTCCGCGGCGAACCGTTTGTGGCGAACCGTTCGCGAACCGTTCGGGACATCACTAGTGCCTGAATCAGAAATTATAATTTCACTGCGAACGTAGGGCAGGCCTTTAAATTTTATTTAACTAGAAACCTGCTCCAGTGGTAATTGATTGAAAAGGAAAAGTTGCTTCCACATTCAAACAGGGAAATGTTATCGCTACCTCACAACTTGTGCCCTAAACTTAGAGAGATACTTCCTACTACCAGGACGATGTTGAGGGCATAGGTCGTATTGGTCAAGGAGGCCTAGGGGACTGCTTTATAGACAAGAGTTATGCCACTATCCATCTTGGAACATGTTACACCAGGAACTAACCTGACTTCTGGAGACCCCTCTCTCCCAATAATGTGGACGATTTCTTTCCAAATAATGAATTACTCTCATTTTATAAATTGAAATTAAATTAGACATAAATGATTCAGTTTCCCCCCACCCCCCGAAAATGAAATTATTGTTAACAAACTAAGTGAGTTGTTTGAGCTACCTACACTTGATCAAAAATACACTCATTTGGAAAAGTACAATTTTGAAAAAAATCTATATCACAAGATATGGTGCTCACCGTGTTAAACAATAGTACTTTATAAAAAAAAATATATAAAATTTACTCACAATTTCAAGAGCACCTTTTGCTCAATGATATCAGCTTGGGTGGTATAATCCCCACCAAGGATATATGTAGGTAGATGTAAAGTTTCCTTTAGATGCGTAAAATGAAATGCAGGATAAAAAAATACATGAAAATAAATATAAAAATTTAAGGGTAAAAACTATTTTTATTGTAATATACCACATAAAATAAAAACAGACAAAAATTGTCCTTCTATATAATCACAACGCATTTCATAGGCTTTTTCAAGTAATAATCCCTATTACTATCATTGAGCAAAACGTGCCTCTTGAAATTGTGAGTAGATTTTATATACATTTTTTATCAAGTGCTATTGTTTAAAACGGTGAGCACTGTATCTTGTTTTATTTGTTTCATATGCCGTTTTCATTGTGAACATCTAGAGAGGACAGTTCCGGATTTATCCTTGAGCGGGGATTGTACCACTCAGAGCCCTGTCTAAGAGCTGGATAGAAGCTCTCCCACTGTGAGTGCATTTTATCTTAACTTTACCTAAAAATTGTATGTACTGGATTACACTATTGGTGGTTTCTTTTGTGTTTTATATCATATGACACACCAGCAACGGAATTCCTCATTTGCACTAAAGATTTTTCTACTTGAACACTAAGGAGGATAATAGACTGACCTCCGAAAAGCACTATCTTCAGAAGGTTTGTATCTCCAAAAAGACTTTTTTTTTAAATTTGCTGGGACTCTTTAATATTGTTATATCTCAATATTTTTATATATAATATTGTGTATACATATATCTGTATAGGATTATCTAGTATTTCTTATTTGGCGCAGTCTTTTTTTTCTGTATTTTTCATTGTTCCTCTTATTATTACAGTATCCAAGTAACAGACGCTATTCTGCTGCCTTTGGAGTTAGCGCTGTATCTCCCCTTCCTTTTTCTTGGTCTACTACTTACCGTCAATACATGTAAAGTAAAATATGCTGTCTTCTCTTATTGTACCTTTACTGTCTCCTGATGCATCCCTATTTGACTTTATATATTAAACTTCATAAAGTACATGATGTCACCATAAAAAATGAAAGAATGTTTTAATATTTTTTCCCCCTGATTTTCTTTTGTTTAACTATCTGTTTCTATTATGTTTTGTTATTACGTATTCATTCGAATACGTTTCATTGATTTAGGATTGTTGTTCATTTTTATAATTGTAAAAATGAAAAATCCTTTAATAATTTTTTTTTTTAAAGTGCGTTGTGTTCCACAATGGGCTGTAAAAATATATATGATTACCATTGTGAATATTCAAAAGATAAATTATTGATTTATTTATTTACAAAATTCTTAAATAAAAAATTAAAGAGTATCTATTGTGAAACTGAGAAAAGGAACACATTCCTTAATCATAGACATGCTCTTAATCATAGGTATCAAAGATTAAGAAAGGTGACGTTGATGGCGTGTAAAATGCATACGATTTTTCTTTTTGAAACGTTTGCTGGTTTTTTTTTGTTTGTTTTTCTTAAATAATGGTATATAATGATTTATTATTATTATTATTATTTAATAATTTATTTTAGAACTATTTATTTTATAATAGCAGTTTCACTGTTCCACTGATCAACCACCAAATCTATGAATGAGTGGAGGCTGTAACTACAGACAGGATGGTGACATAGATGCATGATCCTTAAAAGTGGTAAACTTGGTATGATCTCTTAACACATTAACATTATCTAAAATAATAATATGGATATATGGATGACATACTACAGTGAAATTATAACTTCTTACTTTCTTTTTTACTCTTTTGTCCTCTGAACCCCAAGACTCCTCACTCTCACCCCCTGGCCCTCTACTTACCTTGCAAGAATAAATTACGGCAGCGATTCCAATAGCGCAACAGCAGAAGAGGAGGTTCATGATGGACAAAGCCAGATAATCCTTGTACGTTTGTTGGGCCACATAGGTGATTTGTGGCTGCATGGGTGGCTGCATTTGTTGCTGCACTTGTAGTTGTACATTGGGTTGTGGGTAAGGTTGCATCTGTGGTTGCATTTGTATCTGCATTTGTGGCTGCATCTGTGGTTGCATCTGTGTCTGCATTTGTAGCTGCATTTGTGGCTGCATCTGTGTCTGCATTTGTAGCTGCATTTGTGGCTGCATCTGTGGCTGCATTTGTGGCTGCATCTGTGGTTGCATCTGGAACCGTGCCCGTGGCATCTGCATTTCAAATTTGACTCCCTTGTCGTCCATTCTCTCGAGTTTGGAGATCTGACTGCCGTTCACTGCTTGTCTGGTTTATAGTGTCTACTTTATACCATAAGGAAGTGGAGGTTTTATAATTGGATTTTATTAGCAGGCGGGTTTTTAGGATATTGCTTTTCAGTTAACTTCATGCTGTTAATTTTTTATATGAATCCGGCCATAAATATCTTGTAGAATAGTGTGAGCCGGAAGCCTAACTTCAGTGTTCAAAGTGAGGGAGAGTTCTGTGTAATCACAATATAATAATAAAATAAAAAACAACTGTAATGTGGCTGTTACCTACAGATCCCGAGGACTAAATACATAACATTAAAAAAATCTATTGTTAGACTGAACCCTGCAGCTCTCCATAGACTGAGCACTGAACCCTGCAGCTCTCCATAGAATGAACCCTGCAGCTCCCCATCGACTGAACCCTGCAGCTCCCCACAGACTGAACCCTGCAGCTCTCCATAGACTGAATACTGAACCCTGCAGCTCTCCATAGACTGAACTAACTGAACCAGCAGCTCTCCATAGACTGAATACTGAACCCTGCAGCTCTTCATAGACTGAACCCTGCAGCTCTCCATAGACTGAACACTGGACCCTGCAGCTCTCCATAGACTGAACCCCCTGCAGCTCTCCATAGACTGAATATTGAACCCTGCAGCTCTCCATAGACTGAACACTGAACCCTGCAGCTCTCCATAGACTGAGCACTGAACCCTGCAGCTCTCCATAGACTGAACACTGAACCCTGCAGCTCTCCATAGACTGAATACTGAACCCTCCAGCTCTTCTGAATACTGAACCTGCAGCTCTCCATAGACTGAACCCTGCAGCTCTCCATAGACTGAACACTGAACCCTGCAGCTCTCCATAGACTGAATACTGAACCCTGCAGCTCTCCATAGACTGAACACTGAACCCTGCAGCTCTCCATAGACTGAATACTGAGCCCTGCAGCTCTCCATAGACTGAATACTGAACCCTGCAGCTCTCCATAGACTGAATACTGAACCCTGCAGCTCTCCATAGACTGAACCCTGCAGCTCTCCATAGACTGAATACTGAACCCTGCAGCTCTCCATAGACTGACCCCTGCAGCTCTCCATAGACTGAATACTGAACCCTGCAGCTCTCCATGGACTGAACCCTGCAGCTCTCCATAGACTGAACCCTGCAGCTCTCCATGACTGAATATTGAACCCTGCAGTTTTCCATAGACTGAATACAAACAATATCTGGACACTACTCCAGACAACAGGGCACCACAACCACTATAAATATATGTAAAAATCATTAAGTTGTGAGCAGTTTCTATGTAGTCTTAGGATTTGACTCTTGGGGGCACTATCCAACCATGGTTGGTAGTGGCAACTAGATTTGTCAATAGCAGTATTAACGCAAACTTTTAAAAAAAATGTTTTGGTATGTACTTGTCCATTATTAATAAAAATATTCAGATCTAAAAAATTTATTTGTTCATAGCTGTATTCATAAGTTAAAACGATGCCTCTGTTATTGGAATTAAGATGATTAAAAAAACGAAATAAGACAGTCTTTGGAACCTTCCCAAATAAAAAAGAGGTCATCAATATATCTAAAAAAGGAGACCAGGTTTGCCCTCCAGGCATGGTCACTGTAAATAACTTCGGACTCCCAGTGTGCCATAAATAGGTTAGCATAACTGGGGGCAAACCAAGTCCCCATAGCTGTACCCCTCTTTTGAAGATAAAAAGAATCAAGAAACCAAAAATAGATGTTCTTTAAAATGATATTAACACCCTCAAGAATAAAATCTATTTGTTTGTCTGCTATATTCCCTTCTTTTGTTAAAATCTCTTTGATCGCCTGACAACCAATATTGTGAGGTATGACGGTGTAAAGAGATTGGACATCGCATGTAACAAGAATAAAATTGGATTTCCATTTAAAAGATTTTAAAAACTTTAGTAGTGACATAGAATCTTGTAAATAGGAAGGCATTCTTTTTACGGAAGGTTGGAGGAGGATATCAATATATTGTGAAAGGTTACAAAGTAGTGAACCAATACCTGACACAATTGGTCTTCCTGGGGGGTTCGTTTCATTTTTATGTATTTTAGGAAGAAAATATATGACAGGTATTTTGGGAAATGTTTTGTTTAAAAAATTGAATTCCTTTTTATTTAAGATTTCCAAATCTACACCTTTCTTTAGAAATTTAGCTAAAATAACTTGTATTTGATTGGTTGGGTCTGCTGAGAGTTTAGTATATACATTTGTATCGTTAAGTTGTAACGATACACTGGCTGTATGGAGTTCAGAGCACTGGCTGTATGCAGTGCCGAGTCCTGGGTGTACAGAGTGCAGAGCACTGGCTGTATGGAGTGCCGAGTCCTGGGTGTACGGAGTGCAGAGCTTTGGCTGTATGGATTGCCGAGCTCTGGATGTGTGGAGTGGAGTACTGGCTGTATGGAGTTCAGGCTCTGTGTGGAGTTCAGAGCACTGGATGTATGCAGTGCCGAGTCCTGGGTGTACAGAGTGCAGAGCACTGGCTGTATGGAGTGCCGAGTCCTGGGTGTACGGAGTGCAGAGCTTTGGCTGTATGGATTGCCGAGCTCTGGATGTATGCAGTGCCAAGTCCTAGGTGTACGGAGTGCAGAGCACTAAGTGTATGGAGTGCAGCGCACTGGGTGTATGGAGTGCAGAGCACGCTCTGTATGGAGTGCAGAGCTTTGGCTGTATGGATTGACGAGCTCTGGCTGTATGGAGTGCAGAGCACTGGGTGCTTGAAGTGACTGTGTTAACAATTAAAACATTTAGCAAACTGAAACTATGGCATGTTATTGGATCTAGAAAAATAATAATATGTGAAGTGGAGCGGTCTTTAACTGCAATACACCCCTATTCCACATGCAGTACATTAGCAAGTTAGAATATACTTATACTTCTTGCTCAATGGTATCTCAGTAGTTGTTCAGCATATACAAAATAAAAATAAAAAATGATCATAGAACAGATCTGTTATATTTACTTGCACTTCTATCAATAGTGCTAGAGATCACATGTACTTGTCAAATCAGCTGAATATTAACAAGTTTATTACAATCTTAAAACAAATGTCAAGATTAAAACAAGATATAAGAACAGTTAAAATACAGATGCAGGACAAATCGCTATTTAGTTAACATGTCACAAACTGTGTTTCACGTAATAAAAAATATAAAGATGGCTACAATGCAAATGCCTGCTTACTAGAATTGTTGGTGAGTATAACGGTATATATTCCCGTTTACTCACAGTCTGGTTTTCCCACACTGGGAGATGTCTCCTGTGTCAGGGAGTTGAGGGAGGTCAGATGGAGTTCCTCTGAGTTACCGCTCGGGTGCCGTCCAGTTAAGCCTGTACTTCGACTTTGCCGCTTTTCGAACGCCCGGCTTCCAGATAGGCTCCGCCCCCTTTCTCAACGTGCTTCCGTGTTGTCTACGCGTTTCTCCGTTCACAGACGGCTTCGTCAGGACGTCAAAGTGCAATGCAACAACATTCCGTGAAATGCATCAAGGGAATTGGATGAAAAATCCACAAACAATATAATATGTGTGGCCAACAGAACCTCGACACAGGCTCCTGGAGGAGCCTGCTTGCCAGCCTCAAGACTATGGTCCCTGCAATATACCTTGCCCAAAGCCCTTTAAAAGGCTCCGTTCATGTTACATATGTACTTTTTGTTACAAAGCCCCTCTGTCTGCTACCTTTTGCTACTCTGTTTACTACTTTGTTGTTAAAAACCCACGAAAAATGTACGAATGACCGACCACCTGGCCCTGACGTGTGCCGCCACTTAACCTTGTTCACTTCTACAATACTGAACAAACTATCAAATGACCGACCACCCTACCTGAGGAGTGTGCTCCTGATTAACCACCCAAGAGCTGCGGTTTTGTGGTTAACCGCAGCCTAATTGGCCGTTGACAGGGTGGTCGTTGTTCGTATGCACGAACACGTGGTGGCGGCCATCTTTAACTGCTGAATGCCCAGTGGGACTTGATAGACGATTGCCTGGTACTATTTTCGGACACTTGTTTATACGAACCCCACTGGGATGCAACGTGCCACATCCGTTCGTGCATAACGCACCAAACACCGTACCGTTCGGTACTTTGGAACTATGCAAGTTATACCAACCCCATACAGGACAATATGGGCTGATAGTGCCGAACAGCCCTAGAGACAATGTTTTATCCCCATGGCGTTTCCATTCCATTCGTGAGATCTGAGCACCTTTCGGATATCTTGTGCGCTCAGATCCAAGCTGTCTGGGGATATGTTGAATGTACCAATTAAAGAATATGATGTATGATTTATGGATTTTTATACAGTTTTCATGTATCTGTAACAGTTAGAATATTGCCTGTACCTGGAGATAATTAGGTTATTGTAACCGTTGAAGGGGAGGGTTTGAAAAGATGCACTTTGATCCCATTGGTTGTTGTCCCTTGTCACCCTGTGTACCATCAGGTCCAGAGGGGTGTATCTCTGGCCTGAAAATGTGTATTTAAGCAGTGCCTTGCGATTCAATAAACCAGACTTCTTACCCTCAACCTGCAGCCTCGACTCGTGTTGTAAGGAAATGCTGATTGCTGACTCTGCTAAGAACTATATGGATACTTTACACTTAATGTGGAATTGGAACTCTCTACCGCTCTCCAGGATCGGGGACAAGGACATCAAAGCGGTCCAACCCTCAGCTAGCCTGAGGCATACCGTAACACTTTTGTACTCCAGAAAGAGACCGACCGTTAGCCCTAATTTCCTGGAACTATTTTGGGCATAGGACCATGTGCACAGTCAGTCAAAATTATGACTTACATGGAAATCCTGGGCCCCTGAACCGATCTGGGTGATTTTTGGATATGTTGGTCCCCCAGATCGGGACTATCAGGGGATGTGATTTTTGTGGGGTTTCCATGTGTTTTGGGGATACTTTCGGGAGATTGTTAAAATGTGTGTTTTCTGTGCCT